TTCAATGCCCATAGTTAGCGTTATGGAACTCGCTTTCTCTCTTATTAGCAGTCCAGTTTGCGGAAAGTTTTTAGCACGATAACAGTCAAGCCATTTCAGGAAACGTTCATTTACTTGACTGTCCGTCGAGCCGCAAGCAATTCACTCTGAGCATGGAAATAGCCCGAATCGGACTGAGCAAGAATCGCTTCCTCGTTTTTCAAAGTCTCGTAGATTTGAGTCTTCCAGACTCCAAGCGTCTCCTGAATGTTTCGTACTTCGTAACCCGCTTCGTTTAATGAGATACACTTCATTTTCTCTTCCGCGGCCATTACCGCTCCTCTTTGTTTGGATGCCATGCTCTAATATAGGATGTAAAAATTTCGCAATTCCAGGAAAACTCACTGCAACAAAGAGTCGCTTGCATGTCGCCGTTTTGGATCCAATGACAGAAAATAGCGGTGCGGATACATCTATTTCGTCGTATCGAGTGGGACTTACTTGATTTAGTGCTACTGCGGGCTTCCGTATCGTCTCCCCCTCCCTCCCTGTGCTCTGCGACTTCAAGTAACTGCGCCACCTGGCGTTTAAATGCCTGTATTACAAGTCCAAATGAAATTAATGCAATAATTTACATCGAACCATAATTATGTACTGTACCAACCTTCGGCGGGCCGGATGAAAAAGACCAACGGGCCGGATCCGGCCCGCGGGCCGTAGTTTGCCCATGTCTGACTTAAGCTCTCTTTGAATTTAAAGGTTCTGCCTTAAGATGTCAGATCAAATTTGTTCGAACATGTACTGAAGGACTTTGGTCAAACCAGCGATCACTATATTAAGTATTAAAAATTACTTCTGCTTGCAAACCAGGATTTCCACTCGATAAAGCAGTCAGCTATGCCAAACTGAGAAATCCTCTGCTCATCAATGACCTCAACATGCAGTACTACATACAGGACAGGTACAGCTTTTCTATTCATTTCCAGTGCTGATGTTTGAATCATGCTTTGCAAAAAAAAAAAAAAGAAGCATTGAGAAAGCAAGTGAACCTCTTTTTGACCCGTTTCCATCAAATTTCTGGCAGGAGAGAAGTATATCGCATCCTGCAAGAGGAAGGGATTGATCTGCCACGCTATGCTGTGTTGAACCGTGACCCAGATAAACCAGATGGTGAGTAATGAGCTCACATTGGCACTGACTGTATTCACGGTAAAGGCAGTTAACACAAAGGGAAGGTAATGAAAAGTAGATGACATCAACTACCGAAAGTAGGACTGAGCAGTTATGGAAAAAAATAATCAGGCTTATTTTGATTGAGATTGAAATCATGATTAATAAAAAGATAATTCATTGATTTCAAAACATATTTATTCCAAAACTTAACTACTAAAAACGACCATATCTACTGGCTGGATGAATCCAGCGTACGTGGTGTTTGCAGTTCTTGCTCAATGAGTAGTGATTGTGAGCCTCTGATCGAGCACCCAGAAAAGCAATCAAACCGGTGAAAATATTCTAATTGTAATTATTTATCCCAAAAAATTGCGATTGCGATATAATATGTGATTATTTCTTTTCATGGTCCATTCCAATCTTTTTTTTTTTTTTTTCAAACAACGAAGCAATTACTTCACGTCTATTATGCTAAACAAAATCTGATCTGTTGTGTTATAGAATGTTAATGTAAAGGCAAATTAATTATTAATTAATTAGAAAGACAGTTTGTTTCTGTACTACAATTACAGGTTGAAATTTACTTTGATGTGTATAGTCTAGTAAGCATCCACCATGACATCATTCTGCCACACGAGGGTAAACTACGGTGTAAAACAGTAAGAAATCAAACAAACTAAGGGGCATATTCTAACGATAATGCGAACAAATCTGTGTCTTTATTTATCCCATTTTTCACATTGCATGAACCATGATATCGAAACTTGGACTACAATTATCAAACATTGACTTTATCAACATCAATAATATTCATAGCCGGTCAAAAAACAAACCCCAACAACAAAAAAACAAAACGTAGCCATCGCCATATGACACATTCTCAGATTGTACCTTGTAACATTTTCCGATATCACAAGCGGCACCTCATCAATTAAATGACAAGTGATGATGAGCAAGAATCATTTCGTCTGTCTTCAGTTTAATTCATTCAATCTGACGATGCAACATAAGGCCATATAGACGTATTTATCCTTAAAATATCGAACAACTTAGCAGGCCGCTTTCATTTTCGTATCATTTTACTGGAGAATGTGTTTTGATAGGTCACTGGTCAGTTGTGCCCTGTGCGCAAACATCAGACACAACTCAGTCAAAGTCAAGACTTAATTTTTTACATGTGCAGCATACATCAGACTGCTGTGGTTACTCGCATCACAGGTCGTCTATTAGCACAGACTAGGGCTGGGGGGAAAAAGTCGACCAAATCGGGGTTTTTACCATAAAAATTGATCGAAACAATAATTTACGCCTCGAAACAATTAATTCTTATTACTTCATTACCGTATTTTCCAGACTATTACTCACTCCTGATTATAAGTCGCACCAGCCATAAAATGCAAAATGAAGAAGAAAAAAACATAGAGAAGTCGCACTGGAGCGTTTTTGAGGGAAATGTATTTGAAAATATCCAACACAAAGAACAGACATGTCATCTTGAAAGGCAAATTAAACATAAAAATAGAGAACAACAGGCTGACTCAGTGTACGATATGCTAACGTTACATAACGCATTAAAAAAAAAAACAACCTGAGAATGTGCCTGTATGTTCATGTAACATGTTATTCAGATAACTATAGCATAAAGAACATGCTCACATTAGGCGTAGAAAAAAAAGTACTGTGTTTCCGGTAACATGAAATTTCAACATAGGGTCGGTAGGTCGGACAAAGTTTTTTTTTTTTTTTTTAAACTCCCCCCATCAAAAATTTAAACAAAATAACCATAAAACATAAAACAAG